GACAGCGCGACCGGACACGTTCGATCAACAGTGACCGGACTTGGCAGTGCGTCCGATCAACGCGCGCTCCAACAGTCAGGACAACCGGACGCGTCCGGTCTGGACGACAGCAGCGTGGGGAAGGCCCGAGGCTATCCATGGAGTTACCCGACTGTGAGCTTGGCTCTTGCAAGGGATTCCTTGCGAGGGGCTCCAACGAGGACTAGGGGGAAGCTTACGCGCTTCTCGATACCTCGATAAAAATACCGGAGTCGTCGACGGGAGTTTGCATATCTCTACCTTACTCTTTAGCTTCCGCATTTACATTGTTTGCATAACTCCTTTTGCGGTAGAGATAGCAACACACTAGCAAAACCGTAGTTACACATTTAGATAGTTTATCTTTTGCATAGGTTTTGCTAAGAATAGACAAAGAGGCCATAGTTTAGAGTTAGAGTTTTAAGTTGCCTAATTCACCCCCCTTCTTAGGCGTCACGGTCCCCTTTCAGACCTTTCAACTATTCTAAGCATGTTAAGAATTGTTACATTCTAGGAATTAAACAATCAACACTTTAGGGTGTGATCACAAATAACAAGGAATGACAACTACAAGTAGCATCTATGTCATGGTCATACAAAATCTAACTTGCACATAGTAAAGTTCACGCAATTAGAAAAAAGATAAATATGCATATGTTCCTGCTATGAGGATTGGCCTAGAGCTCAATGGGTTAGGGCTTAGCTCTTACACAATTGAATATATGATGCACAAGTTAAACATGATGACATGATTGCAATGCACAATGCATGAAAAGGTTATTAGTACTTTAAACATAAGCAAGTACATAATTAGGGACTATGGGTTAGTACCCGAGGGTTAACATATCGGCTATAGGCTAACCGGTTGTTGTATGTATCTCAGGAGCCATCCTTGACTAGGTCTCAAACCGTCTTTGACTTAGGGATTTGTCCTATCCGAGGAAGGCATTGGACTACCTAGGCAACTATGGTTGGGTTGCTTGACCCTAGGGATCGACTATCCGCCTAGGATTAAAACTTACTAGGTTGGTTCACTAGTTTGCTATGTGTCTCACACCAGTTAACATGAACCATCGAACCATTCGGTAGGTCTGAGTAGGACTAGACAAAGATTTCTCATCTCTAAAAGGCATGATCTAACCGCCCATGGTGTTAGGTCGTGGCTATCCAAAAAATGCTCTTCTCTACTATGGTTGATTGGATCGTTCGTTGGGTTTGAACGAGGGGTGCTTCTTTGGTCGATCTAGGTTGTTTGGTTCGACCAATTGAGAATCTAACTTGAACTATCCGGCTGCTTAGAATAGAGGATCTAACTCTCACCATCAATTTAAGGGTTTTCGGATCATTGGGGATGACTCTCATCCACGATCTTCAGATGGGTTGGTGTAGAGACTCCTAACTCTCTGTAGAGACATATGGGGTTACTTGGACCATCTAAGCATAACCTACAAACTGTACAAGGGTTTTAACGCAATGATAAAGTCTCTAGTGTGGGGTTTTAGGCTTGGAAGGTCATCCGACACATGTTGTTGGATCATTCGCCAACTACTGTGAAAAGCACTAAGGCTCACTCTCGAGCTTGCAAAGAGTGGATCGAGCCTATGTGTTGCTAAGAGGCTTGTTGCTAGAGGTTGCTAAGAAGATCTAAGACATGTCTAGGGAGGTCATTGGGTGTATTAAGACTAGGCACAAAGCCCTAAGTCATCCATGCCTAACCTACCAATTTTTGAAACTGATGATTGAAATCCTAAGCTTGGCTTCACTAGAGACGTTCTAGAGCTTACCAAGGATCTCAAGAACAGTAGCAAGGGCACTAAGGTTGGAATAGAGGTTGTGTTGAAGGCCTCGTTGTTTTCCTTCTTCCTCCCCACCAAGCTAGAAGGAGAGAACTTGGAGAAGCTCCTACCCTGTAATGGGGATGAGCTTGGGGCCTCCTTTGCTCCTTGGTGCAGCTCTTAGCCTCCTCCTCCTTGTTTGCTCTTCCTTGTTCTTGATTCCTGCTAGAGGGAGGGAGAGTGGTGTGTGGGTGTGGCACGAGAGAGCGTGCTGATGCTTTGGTGAAGTGCCCACATGCACTTAGATGTGGCCCCTAGCAGGTGTTGTGTGTCACTAGGGCTGTTGGACCGTTTGATGTCCGACTCATGACTTAGTTGACCGACTGGACTCCATTGACTCACTGACATGGCACTTGCCAGATCGTCCGGTGGCTATATATAGCCAGACCATCCGATACTCAAAAGTGTTAGGTTCATCCTAAATCACATAAGTCTTAAATAGGGGTTTTAAACAAGGTCATGCTCATGATGATATGCTTAATTCAAAGAATGCAATAAAATCAAGTTGGGTTTCATACAAATTTGGAACGATGGATATTTCCAACATGTGTGCTCTATGAAATCCGATTTCCAACTCTCTCTCTCTCTCTCTCTCTCTCTCTCTCTCTCTCTCCTTTCTCTAGCTATGTGCCTTTTCTAGTACTCTATAGTACAAATGGTCCTTGCTGATCGGATTTCTTGTTTCATCATTAATTCCATAGAGTTGAAAGCTAGGGCACCCTAATCCCGCACAATATTATTTTGTGGTCCATGTGTTTGCAATGCAATGTCGTTCTTGTAACGTGGACGGTAAATCGATCTGGTGAATTGCCTCCATCGAGAGTGATGCTGTAGACATGAAAGGTCAAACTAGGAGTAGCTTTGGGCTGGCTGCATGGTCGATCTGTTTCATTTTTTCTTAATCTATTTATTATAAAGATATTGTACGTACTGTATCGTAAAGGGAGAAATAAAATGATATAAGCCAGACATGCGTGGTCTGCATGTTGCGCTTAATCTATGTGGGAAACATACTAATTGATGATCTGGCTTAGCCTCTTAGGTCACATTTACAATTACACATGCTTCGTCACGTTGCACATAATCTAAGCTCGCATGCTCACACGGTGGGTCGCTCGTGTTTTGCCAAAATATTACCTTATTGAAGCATGAGATGAGGACATGCGTGCGTGCATGACCACCACCCGTGCATTGGCGGCGGCTTGGCGCTCGAGCTCGACCGTGCGCCATCGATCTGTGTGGCCTGTGGACTAGTAAGCGGCCGGCCGGATAGGCCCGGCCCCCGAAGCAGTCAGCAGGGATAGGATAGCTGCGCTGTGCTGTGGATGCATGTGTGGTCCTCGACCTGATCTGATCTGATCCGATCCGATCCGATCCACTCGGATCGCCATCGGAGTTGCTATAGCTGTATGTATGTGCCATCGCGTCGGCGAGAGATCTTGCCGGCCGGCCGGGATATCTCATTGGTGGCGCGTGCGTGCACCGGTGCATGGATGCGTTCTACGATCTTGACCAGACTTTGGTTGTAGGGCACTCCCAATACAATAAACTATTAATAGTTTATATAGTATAGGACATCGTACTCTACAATACATAACATAAGTAATGATAAAAATCATGTTTGCTTTTTTAATGGGCTACGAGTAGTTTCTTGTCCATTAATAACTATGAAGACCTATTTTCTTAGTTAGATCTGGTTTTTTAAATTTTTTCTCTCTCCTTATTAAATCACTTGCCACATCAGCCATTAATACCTGTAGAAACTACCATAGTTTCTGCATTGTGAGTGCCCATGCCCTCCATTGTTCAGATCTCAACTCTCAAGAGGTGGCGGATTAGCTATAAGCTATACCTATATAGCTAGGTCGTCCGTCGTCCAACAATGCATGCAAGAGCAAGACGAAGCTGCGTGTTAATAACTCGATCATCAACAACTCACGTGCCGTCCGTTTATTATTCTTCAGATCATAGAGTATATATATTATTCTAAGGCGTGTGTGCTTCCACATCTCGCTCGTCAAGCTGACAGCAAGGCTAATAAAATATAGCGGGTAGGCCGGCTGTAAGAATCTTTGTAGCTTTCTCTTAGCCTATCTATATAGTAGTTAGCTCTTCACTGTTAATACGTGGCACACTTGTCTCTCTCATAAAGTTTCTCGGTTCTTGTGTCTAAACTAGCTGTAAGGCCACGTTTAGTTCATCCAAATTCCAGAATTTGGCACTATGCAAAAAGAAGATTTCCCGTCACATCAAATTTGCGGTACATGTATGGAGTACTAAATGTTGACGAAATCAAAAACTAATTGCACAGTTTAGTTGTACTTTGCGAGACGAACGTTTTGAGCCTAATTAGTCAACGATTGGACAATTATTACCAAATAAAAACAAAACGCTACAGTGCGCAACAGTGCCGCGAATTTGGGCGGCGCCAAATCTGGGGCCAAACTAAACGCGGCCTAAGTTTACAACCCGCTTTTCTCTTCTTTCCTCTCCTCTCTCTCTTTCACCTCAGCATTCAAGGTTATAACATGCTATTATACTTGCTCTAAGTGCATGCATGCAATGCAAAATGCCCCCACGCGCGCACACCGGTTTGCATGCATGCATTGGCCGCCGATCGAGCGATCCGGTCGGCCGATTCTCTGACACCGCGCCTGCACCAATGATGATTGATCCATGCATAGCATGCATCGTCACTCATGACGACGCGAGCTCAGGAGGCAGGAGCAGGACCGCAGGAGGCAGGTGAAATGATCGGCTCCGGTTGGTCTCCAGCTGCCCACGTCGTCGTCGTCGTCGTCGCTGGCTCCCGTCAGGGCACGTACAACGGGCGTGCTGGCCATCCTCTCCGGATGGTCATTTTGCAAAATCCACCCCCGTCCGCTACAGTAATTGAGGAGAGAGAGCGAAGCAGTCGTGTCGTGAGACGACGGCGAGCGCTCGTGCTCCCAGGCGAACTCGACGGCTGAATTCATGTTGTACGGAGCCGTCGTTTTGAGCCGACGTCGCGCGGATCCAGCTGCATGCGCGAAGTGAAATATTTGCGCCAAAAATCCGCACATATATGCCTCAGCCGTGCCATTTTTCATCGCCATTCTTGCCCAAATCTGTCTCAGATGCCCTTGCGCCTTCGACAAATTTCTTGCGATGTCTAGCCGGGATTTGAAGAGAAAGGCGATGTCAGTTTCGAAGAACAAGGCGAATGCAGCGCCACCAGCGGCAGCGGCGGCGGCGGCAGGGGTGAGCAGACTTCCTCACAGAAGCGGCTCATCCCCAGCACCCAACCTCGCCGGTTTCAACGGCGTGGCAGCGCCCTTCCTCGGTCACGGAAGCAGCTCGTCCCCAACACCCAACTCCTCTGCTGGTACGATTCATCCTCAATCCCTGGCAGATGGCTTGGATTCTTCACCAATCCATGGCAGACGAGGCTACCTAGTCGGATTTGGCGCAGTTGCCTCTTCACATGGCAGATGTGCCTCCACCGGTCCAAGTTCTCCGTTCGGGCATCAATCAAATTGGGATCCAGTATGGTAATCCTTGATTTGCTTTAATTCTCACGTTTAGCTGTAGGCTATAGCCTTGATTTGATTGAATTCGTATTCTGCATTTCTGTTCATCTAGGGAAATCTATCCTGCTACGTTTTGCCAGCATAGGAAAATCTGTCCTGCTACGTTCTGCGATTCTATTTTAATTACCTGTATGCTATGTTGCCTTGGTGATTTTCTCGACAGCAGAGAAATAGTGGTAGTTCAGTTATTTCTTTTTCAGTTAAACATGCCAATACATGGAACCTGCAATTCTAACTATTGAATGCTTTTAGTTACTGATAACTGAACAGTTATCTGATCATTGAATTTTTTTCTAGCTACTGGATGTTATCAGTTCAATAGAATTGATCACTGATTTCTTTTTCTAGCTACCAAATGTTTTGTAACTACTAATTTTTTTCTAGCTACTGAATGTTGTTAGTTCACTAGAATTGATCACTATTTTCTTTTTTCTAGCTATTAAATGTTGCCAGTTCACTAGAATTGATCATTGATTTTTTTTCTAGCTAATGTTGTCAGTTCACTAGAATTGATAACTGAATGTTTTCTAGCTACTGATTTTTTTTCTAGTTATTGAATTTTTTACTTGTTTTACTTGTCTGTTAGTTTGATAAATACATATCCAGCAAAAATTTGATAAGAAATATATACTTGCAGGGACAACAGCACACATCCCCCTGGTGGATTTATGGGTTTATTCAACAACCAACCCCATTTATCATAGAATTCACATTTTGTTGGTGTTCCATCTCTTTATGCACCTTTCAAGGCACCAAGGCCTGTCGATGTTGGCATCAGTTTTGCCTCAATGGATGCACCACAACCTAACAACTGTGGAAGTTCGTCTCAAGAAGTGGAAGTTTTATCTGACCAGCAGGCTATTGATGTTGATAGCGATACGGAGAATGTCAGGACTGAGAAGTGGATCATGTGGACACCAGAAGAAGACGAGAAATTGATGAGTGCTTGGTTGAAAAATTCAACAGATTCATCCGTCGAAGCTGATAGGAATAACGAGCACTATTAGGGTGATGTTGTTAAGTCATACAACATGACTATCCTGTCGCATAGGAAAAGAAATTCAAAGCAAGCCTCGATGGCACAAGATTAATCGATGGACTGATCTGTATGAATGTGCATATCTGAAGGTTTGCAGACTATTCACAAGTGGGTATTCTGATCAGATGTGGATTGATGCAGCAGACAAGTTCTATTTGATAGACAACAAAAAGGCAAAGCTAGGTCCCTTTGTGCTAAAGAATGTTTGGAAAATATGCCGAGAGGTGCCAAAGTGGAAAACATACAATGAAGACCTAAGGAATGTGCTTAAAAGGAAGTCATATCACATTGAAGGAGAAGTGGAGGAAGATGATGATATTGAAGAAATGCCTGAGCGACCTATTGGACAGAAGGCAGCCAAAAAGGCCGCTCATGCTGCAAAAGGGAAGTCCAAAGGATCAAATTTGGATGATGATGGAAAAGCAAAGGAATCGGCGATTGATGTGGAGAAGCTTGACAAATTTAGCAAAATCCAGGAAGATTTAAATGCAAACCGCATGAAGGTATTGGAACTACAACAGAAGTTATCAACCGAGAAGCTTGAAACCACAAGACTGGCACATCTTACAGCTAAGGAGACCACCGAGGCAAAAAGGCTTAAGAAGGAATCAAAGATGATGCATGCTTACAACACTCTCATCTCTCAAGATACAAGTTCAATGTCCGATGAAGAAAAAGCTGAGCGTGTTGCTACTATGAAGTGTTTTAGGAAGACTTTATTTCTTGAAATGATCTAGTCAGGTATGCACACATGCTATTTCAGTTACATGTATGTTACTTGTCAGTTGCCTGCACCCATCCTTGATATATCTGTTCATTTCTACTAGTAGGGAAAAGGAGAAAGCCATAGTGAAATGTGCTGGAAATTCTACAGATGGCATGATAATTTTCAATCTTAGTGTTTTGTCCGATGGCATAATAATTTTCAGTCTTAATTGTCTGATGGCATGATAATTTTCAGTCTTGTTTTAGTATTAGTGTTTCGGTCTTAGCTGTATGGAACATGTTGTATGGAACCTGTTGTGTGAACCTGTCAAATGTTTGCATGTCTCCCTGTGTAAATGTGCCAAACGTCTGATTTTTCAGTTACCTGCATGTCACGTTTTTCCAGTTTCCTGCATGTCACGTGAATTTTTAGTTTCTTGCATGTCACTTGAATTTTTAGTTTCCTGCATGTCACTTGATTTTTCGGTTACCTATCTGCATGTATCCTATGTGAAACAATCCACTGTCTGCATGTCTCTTGTGAAACTGTCCACCGACTATATATCTCCTGTATGAATCTCCATCCAGTCACAGGTTACGAACTATAAAAAGGTGGCTTGGCTCCATTCAGTCGGCATAGGATCTGTAGTTGTTTTTTATCAGTATTATGGAATCACATCCACCAAACGATGATAAAGATGATCTACCAGAAGCCGATGACTTTGATCCTACAGAGGTGTTCGCCATGGAAGATTTCCTAGCGGAGGATGAAATTGTAGAAGAATTTGTGAGGAAGATTGGAGATGGATTGAAGGCTGACATCGAAGGAGGAACATCGTCTGTGACTCGCCGCCGACGACAAAGTGTACCAAGGAGGTACATACCAAGGAATCAAGAAGCAGGTCATGATGGTCTTGTCGCTAATTACTTTTCTGCAAATCCTATCTACACCGATGAGATGTTCCGTAGAAGGTTTCGGATGAATAAACCGTTATTCCTGCGCATCGTGCAAACTCTTAGCAATTGTAATCCTTATTTTACCCAAAGAGTTGATGCAACTGGTAGGGATGGACATTCACCCCTTTAGAAGTGTACCACGGCAATCTGGATGCTAGCATACGGCTCGCTGGCCGACCAACTTGATGAGGTACTAAAAATTGAGGCAAGCACTTTGTTTGGAGATTCTAGGAAAATTTGCCATAGGGGTGATTGAATGTTTTGGTCAAGAGTACCTGCGCCCTCCTACAAGCGATGAACTAGAAAAAATTTTACAAGAAAATGAGGCTCGTGGTTTTCTAGGAATGTTGGGAAGAAGCATCGATTGTATGCATTGGGCATGGAATAATTGTCCGAAAGGTTGGGCAGGCATGTTCACACGTGGTGACAAAGGTGTTCTTACTATGATCCTTGAAGCAGTGGCATCCCATAATCTTTGTATATGGCATGCTTTTTTTGGTACCGCTGGATCTTAGAACGACATCAATGTCCTAAACAAGTCACCACTGTTCATCAATGTCCTAAAAGGGGAAGCTCCAAGGGTACAATACACCGTAAATGGAACACAGTATGATATGGGCTACTATCTTGCCAATAAAATATATCCAGAATGGGTGGTCTTCGTGAAGACAATATCAGCCCCTCAAATGGATGAAGACAAATTGTTTGCATTGATGCAAGAAGGAGCGAGGAAAGATGTCGAATGCACATTTGGCGTATTGCAATCTCGCTTTCATATTGTTCGTCGACCATCAAGGTTATGGAAGCAGGGAGACATTATCAACATAATGCAAGCTTGTGTTATCCTTCACAATATGATAGTGGAGGATCAGAAGGAATTGGTTAGAGTTTCCTTGGATTTGAATGAGAATGCAAGTACGACAATAGTGCTCTCGCCTGAAGTGCATACAAGTGATAACCCCAATCCATGCTTCGCGAAGGTGCTTAGAAGGAATTCCGCTATCAAGCACGGCCAACACATAGACAACTTAGGGATGATCTTGTTGAGCATATATGGAAAAGCTATGGAAACAAAGAAAACTAGACATAAATGTTTAAATCATATTTGATTTATGGGGAAGAAGATCGTATGTTATATTTGAGTTATGAAATATATTATATTACATTATATATATAATATATATGATTTACTTTGAAGAATTTGTTTTGTATCAATTAGCAACACAATGTACACACAATGATACATAGAAATGATATTCATGATAGATCACGGCTATATGCAAGCATTAAACGATTTGTAGATAGCCAAATAAACAGGAGCTATATGTGTGTTATATGAGCTGCCTATTTAGTCATCTATGTTGTAAATCCTAAAAAGTTACAGACGCTGCCTCAAGTACGTCGATCATCGTGCCGGCAGCACGGCAGGATACATGCACAGTCAGTCACATCCGGCCACCTCGACGCTTTGCTTTTTGGTCGGGTCGGGTGGTACTGGTACGGTTGTTGCTGTTGCTCTGTAGCCACGCCTGTACGCGTACATGCACTCCCGTGTGGCCGTGTCTCCTCGGCTCCTCTCGCTCGCTCGCTCGCTGCGCTGGTCCACTGGATGTGTGGTGGATGCTCCCAGTCGGCCTCCAGCGCCTTCAATCTCTAGTAGGAATCACGTGAACAAAAGTCAAACATAGCGGGACATACCGTTGTTGCATATATAGATACATACCCGATACATACATATTATTATAAGGCACACATATATTTCATATAAACATTGTGAAAATGCTGCTATATAGATCGACAAACTAATTAATAGTCAACTTTAAAATACCGTGTTGATGTGGACCCAACATACAGGTCCCATATGTCAGCGCATTGCTCCTCTCGATCTTAAGTCACCTCCTCCTTCCACCATTGCGCGTTGGCCATGGCTTCCTAACGCCAAATCGGCAAATCTACTGAAGATGCCCGCTAGCACGACCAAGGCCGAGAGAGAAGAAGGCACCGATTTGGTGGCCAAGCAACGATCCGATGCCGAGGGCGCAACATTGGAGAATAATGGGCCCATAGTCACAACCATAATTTTAGACTTCTCCTAGTAAGGTGGGCTTCTCCTAATGTTTAAGCATTTAAAGTTTAGTATAAACTTTCCCTACTAAATGCCTCTTAGTGAGGATTTCCATATAATTTGACTAGTGGTAGTGTTTTATTACTACTTAAAAACACTAAGAGAATTTCACCATTTTAGTAGCGAGCACATATGCTGAAGCAGGGCCTCACATCGCCCGGAAGCTGCACATCGAGGAGAGGGAGGGAGCTCAGGTGGTACATACATAGTAAGGGACGGAGAAAGGGATATGCTGACACATGGTTGCCACGTGTCGCTCTATATCAACAACTGATCAGTATCCCATGTCAGCACATGGAGTGGGCCAGCTTATTAGGACCAATGGTGATGCTAGGACCTAGATGACGTTGTAAATTAAAAGTTCAGGGAAACCAAATATCAAAATTCGAGAGTTAGGGATTCAGATGACACCGCCATATAGGATCACGGACTCAAATATCAAGACTCGAATGAAGCCGTGCAAGTTTAGGAATCACTTGTGAACTTAACTCTCAATAAGTTAATTAGTCTACGCACCAACTTCAGCTAGCAGTATATGACACAACTATGTTCTACATCCATCTCCTTTTTTTTGTGATCTTATTATAAATAAATGGGCTTAGACACGAGCCACATTTTTCAGCAGCTAGCAACTTGCAAGCATTGTTGGGGTGGCGTGACAGTTGCTCTTACTGACTGTGCTGACGCCGAGATAATGTCAGTTTTTTGCTGACGCTGAAGGAGAAACAGAAGAGCTGACGGCCAGTGTTCATCACGCCACGTGCGTACCATACCAGATGACGTGCACATCTGTTTCCTCCTTCAATTCACGTTTATTTGGCATGCATGGGGGCACTCCTTTTCTCGTTTGTTAGCACTGATGATGAAGATGGAACAGACAGGATGGGCACTGAATATATATATCAGCTTGGCTGCCCTTGCGGTGGTTGCACTGCATCCTTCCGCGCTGTCTGTGTGACGACTTGAGCACCGTTGTGTGTGTGCTAGTTGTCTCGTGACTGTGATGAGTTGCGATAATGACCCGTGCGGTGTGGCGTGCGTGGTTGCTGCTACGCACATACAGCCGCCCTCTGTAATCGCAATGGTCCACGCAAAAACCTCTCATCTTGTCCTGTTACATATTTACGCAAATCCTCATGCATCAAGTGAAGTTCAACAGATAAACTATGTGAACGGCACTGAATGTCTGAATTAGCACATGTTAAGCCGTACGTCATTTGGTTCTTTAAAGAAATCTAATTAAGACATACCTGTAATATAATACATACAGTATAATGTAAAAGTAGTGCATGTCACGGTGGATATATATAGGATCGAACCTTTTCCATTTTTTTTCATGTAAATCAAGCAATTGAAACACTTGTCATGATAAAAAAAAAATAGGTCATATTTTTCCTCTACTACACTTCTAGCGTCCGTGATCGATGTGCTATGGCATCGTCCGTCCCTCTCCTAGTCACAGTCCTTGGACCACTACTCACCTCATCCATCACAACCGGCTTCATTCTTCATCATCTCTCCTCTAGCCTAGTGGCTCGATCGATCCCGAGCTGGATCTGCCACTACCCCTTTTAGAGCTTGTTTCGTTGAACAAGCCCTTAGGGTTGATCCGTAGAGATCGAGGACAACTTTTGGCTGGAGTATGAAAATTATGGGGCTAGATTGAGTGACTGAACTTCTTCAGAATGCTACTAAAAATTGGCTACTTCCTCCACCCCCCACACCATAGGTATAGGATCGTATCCGTGTGATATATGCATTTACAAAGATAGTATTGCCAAAAGGACTGTAGCTTAGTAGTTATAAGAGTCTCAGTAGCATCTTAGGCTTTGAGTTCGACTCCTCGTGGGAGTAAATTTTTCAGGATTTAACGGTGTTGTGCTTTTCAGTGGTAGGCGATGTTCCCGTCGATAACGAGGCACCTGTGGTGACTTCGTCAATCTCGAGCAT